GGGTCTATTTTCTATGTGTGAACGATGTGGGACAACTCACAAGTGATATTCTAACATCAATCAATTTTCGAAAGTAAGTAAAGAATGATCGTGTTGAGCAAGAAAGGCTTACCCCATATATATAGAGGTAAGATACCTGCCCTAGAAGCTGCCCGAAGCTGCTGAGCTGGCTGCCCGGGCTTGCCCATCCGTACACACACAGTTGCGTGTGTCAGAGGCAATCGTCGCCACTATCTTCTGCACCAATATCTCTTCGACACGTGTCCTCTGCACATGGGTAAAATATTCCCTTTTATTCCTCTGACGTCACTCTGACAATTCCGTTAGAAACTCTCGTAGTTGACCTTATCTAGGTCAATCTCTCTAGTCCTACTCCCCGTACTGGATATTCGACCATCATGTTGCTTCCGACCCTAATATCGACCACCTAGACAACTCTCTGCTCGCTCCTGTCTTTTATCGACCAGGCTTTCTCTGCCCTCTAGGCTCCTCTATGTATCAAGATCCTCGTCCTCCCGACCATGAGGTTATGCAACTATAGTCGTGCTTCCTCATATCCTTTCGACCTGCTTTGCCTTATCTACGTTCGACTTGGCTTGACCCACTCGTTGGACCGGTTTACTCGTTGAGGTATAATATCCCATATCACAACCACTTACATACTTTTAAATCAAATCTACTTTAATTTTTTTATTTTAAATATTAATTGAATACAAAACTCAAAATCCTAATCTAACCTAATTCAACCAACTTTTTCAAAATTAATTATAGTTAACAAGAAAATCAATAAAAAAATATTATAAACAAGCATGCCCCAAGTCTTTTTTAAAATTAAGATAAACTTATTTTTTTTACTTGAAAAATGCATGCTGATTATTATTATAATTATATTATATTATTATTAATTGTTGAATAAAAAATTGGAAAAAGCCCATGCGTGATGCCTGCCTCGTATGAATCATCCTTCTCATTACTCTTTGTTGTGGGCTTTTTGGGTAACCCAATTTCCACGTCAAAACATGTCACATGGGCCCATTTGATTATGCCTATACAGTAAGGACTTCTGTTTGTGTACCGAGTCAAAATAATCGTACTTGTACTCCCTATTACGCAATAATACTTTGTTTTTTTTTTTCCTTTGACAAGTTAAAAAGTAAATTTGCCTGTTTGGTTTGGTCCAAATGGATCATTACACTGCACCGTGAACAAAAGTATATGTATTTTTTTTTTTTCTTTTAGAATAATACTTAGTCAAAGGTTTATTTTCATTTTTTTAAAAAATGTTTTTGAAAAAGAAAAATAGTATTTTTATTTAAAATGCACAATTTGTATCACAATATATATTTAAAGTACTTTTCTATTTTTATTTTAACTCCGTATTATACATATAACTAAGGTTGAGCTAAACCGAGCTGAAACCGATCCAAATCGTGCATTTTTGCAGTTCAATTGCTTTTATGTGTAAACAAGTTTAAAATCAGTTTTTGCCACTGTTTTTTCCTATATTACGGTGCAGTTATAGCTTTTCTTATGTTCGGTTATCAGTTTGATGCGGATTTGAACTGAGTAGCACCAAATCAAATAAAATGTATAAAAAAATTGATATAAAACCGAAAAGTGGACAGAACTTTGCAGTCGGCGCGGATCAATACTGAACTAACCATTGCTCACCCCTTTTTTTTTAATCAACCATCAAATTTCATTGACAAACTCAATATGTACAAATTGAGTAACCAACGGGTTACAAGAAGTTCAAGGTATTTTGGAACCCACCACAACCATAAAGGTCATAGCCACCTTCACATCTAATCCTTGTTGTTGAGATTTCCACGTTTTTCCAACTTGATATGTAATTTGTTGATTTTGAATCAAATTTTGAACTTAATTTAAAGCGTTTGAAATTGATGATTATAAGATAAACCGATATTTGATTTATCGATTTATGGTCATTGATTTATCTGCAATCAATAATTACACGAATATAATATGTGACAAATGTTCGTAAAGAACAAACTTCATTTGTTGATGTTCAAAATTTTCAAATTTTGATAGAAAGTTGTTAATTTCAACAATTATACGGTGAAAGTGAAGAATGGTCAAAGTACAACCACAAAATTTATATTAATTAGTCGAACAATTTGCCTTTTACTTTCCGTGGATGCTATATATAAATTTCTCTATTTTTGATAAAAATAAAATCATTGACACATTTTAGTCTCATAAATTAATTTTGAGCCGTTA